TCAGCCCCCCGCGCCCCTCGGAGCCCCTGTCCCCTTCCTCGGCGCCCCCACAGCCCCGGAGCCCCGTCACCTGCCCTTTGCTCAGCATCCGCCGCCCCTCGCCTCACCCCGGCCCTCCCGGCACCCCATCGCCCCCACGCGCCTCTGCCGCCTGTGCCCCGCGCCGCCTCCGCGCCAGCTCCCGGGCATCCACTCGGCCTCCGGCCTCACCCCTGCTCTGCCCTCACTGCCTGCCACGGCTCCCCCTTCACCTCCGCAGGTCTCACCTCCTGCCCCCGACCCCGCCATCCGCGCAGCATCCCTGCCGGAGCGTGCCCCCGGCAGCGGCACTCCGCGCGCTCTCCTGCCTGAGACCCCGAACCTCCCACTCTTCCCAGGCCCCGGCACCCCCACTTCAGCCTGGGGATGGCGCCTTCCTTCCTCAGGCCGGCACAGCCCGGCGCTCCCCGACCCCTGGGCTCCGCGGTGCCCGGGACTACTCAGGACCCTGGAGACCTGACGCCTGCTGTGGCCCCAGCCCCCAGCCCGGGCATCCCGGTTCTCCGGTGTCTGACCCCACCACCTGCTTGGCCACTCGAGGTTTCTTCCTCCTGCTCTTCAGGCCCGATTCCGCCCCAGACCCACGTTAGTCTGCTTTCCCCGTGTTTCCTCTTCCTCTCTCCTCTTCCTTTCCGTGCCTGCCTTTTCTTCCTAACGCTTCTTTTCTTTTCCCCCATTACTTTCTGGGTTTCTATTTTGGTACTTCTCAACCAGAGGAAGAATGAATTTTCTCCTCCAAGAATTAAAAAACAAGCCAACTACCGAACCTGCGCCATGAGAGCCAGGTTTGATAAAACACGGAAATGGGCTCACCAAAAATATTCCCAGAGGGAAGAAAAGGGACTTCTTTTTCTGATGAGGACCTCACATAATGCCAAATCTATTCACAGTTTCCAACTATGAATATTTTAAAAGTCAGTGAGAAAGCAGTTTCAAAAAACGTCTTTGCTGAGGACTCTGAGTCACCTACTCTTTTTCTTGCCCCAGTCCTCATGATGTAGGAGTTGAATGGAGAAGTTCCCTTAAAGGGACTTCCCCTTCCTCTTACAGGATCAGTGTCAAAAAGCATCAAGACAGAAGAAAGAGGAGGAGAGAATGGCAGATTTCTAGCTGGTCCTGAGGAAACGGCACCCCACAGATGCTCAGCCTCCTGGTTATTGAAACATGTAATTTCTTTCTTTTGATTCAGTAGAGCAGAGAGCTTAATCATTTGGCTGTGTTCCAAAGAGCAGGAGAAGGGATAACTGCTCACTAATTATTTACAAACTATAGGGTACTGCAAGCTCCAGAGCACTATATAATAGAAATGCCAGATATACTCTAAGTGCCAGATAGGGTGGAGAGTGCGTGGTTTGGGATTAACAAAAACATACTCCTTTTTGCCCTGGCAACAATATTTGTCTGCTTTAGAGAAGAGGAAAATGAAACCTAGCAACTGATTGAGTAACTTGGCTTGAAGGCATAAACCAAACAGTAGTTTTGAATGGGAATTGACGACAATCCCTTTATCCCCAAGACACTGTAAGGATAAAGGGAAGGGGAAATTTTTGATCCCTTGGAATCTACCTCATTGTGAGTTTAATGTTTTAAATTATAACTGAACATTCAGGGAGTTAAACATTCACAGAGTTGAGCACTTGTGCTCATGATTGAAATCTGTACTTAACTCTTAGTTAATAAATCATTAACATGCAAAGGCAAAAAGATGATGTTTGGGTTTTTGCTGCTAGTTGCTGTATTTCAAGGGCACTGATAACTCTCACCCCATGCAGTTTCCCAGATAACTGAGAGTAACGTGAACGTGGAGAAATTGCGGTGACTCAGACATGGAGGACAGAAGACCTCATCTAGAGGCCAGGCCCAGGAATCCCCATCCCAACCACAGAGGTAAGCAAGGTTTCCTTTCTAAGGGGAAGGGAACGTAGTAAGAGAAGGAAATCCTGTGAACGAACAGGCCCACGTAAGAGTGCCTGCATCTCTCAAGTAACAAATGACTTTTTCCTTAGCCACAGCAAGAGAGACTGAAAAACAGACAGCCCTCCAGTTTCCCTAACAGGATTGATGACAGGATGTCGTTCCCTTGAGCAGAAATAGTGACGTCTGTGTCAGAAATGAAAACAACTCTTGGTCTAGAGCAGCACTATCTAATAGATACATAATGCTCACCAAAAATAATTTTTAATTTTTTTTTTGAGAGGTATTTAACTATAGGGCGCATGCGCTCGCCAGACAGAGAGAGACATAGAAACAGAAAGCGAAAATTCCCCCCCCCACGGGGAATGGTCACGCCGCAATCCCTTCTCCTCCATTCTCCTCTCAGGATCTTGGGCACGCACACACACGCGCCCGGCATGAGATTTAAGCCACCGGGTCTGGGACACGAACTGGAGTCGACTACATGGGAGTCCAGCGACATAGCCAATACGCTAACTGCTGGTTCCCAATTTTTAATTTTCTAATAGCATCATTAAAAACTGTGAAAAGAAACATGAAATGTATTCTTTTTTGTTTTAGAATTATTTTATTTAACTTTATTTATTATTATTATCATTATTTTCCAGTTTGATCAGAAAGAGACAGAGAGAGAGAGGGGAAGTGAGAAAGCAAGCCACCAAGTCCGAGACTTGAACCATGGCTGGCCATGTGGGAGTCTAGCGCCTTTAACCACCATGCCACTTGCCAGCCCCATAAAATGTATTCTTAAAGTTTAATACTAATTTAAATCTAATAACATGTCTTGTTTAGCATGGTATATCTAAAATACTGTCATTTTGTTATGATAATTGAATATATTTTATTATCATAATACTTTAATCATTATATTTTTCTTTACTCATATACTCAAATATTTTTTACATTTTTAAAAAGAATTATTTAATTATTTTCATTATTTTTCCGTTTGACCAGAGAAAGACAGAGAGAGAAAGTGAGAAAGCAAGCCTCCCGGTCCAGGATTTGAAATGTGGTTGGCTGTGTGGGAGTCCAGTGCCTTTAACCACCATACCACCTGCTGGCTCCACTCAAATATTACTTCAAGATGTCTTCAGTATAAAAATGTTTAAAGAAATATATAACTCTTTCTGGCACTAAGTCTTCAAAATCCATGTATATTTTGCATAGCCTAATTCAGATGAGCTACATTTCACATGCATCATAGCCGCGTGTGGCTAGTGGCTTTGTATTGGGCAGTGCAGATCTAGAGTCTTAGTCACCAAAGCAAGCAAAGTTAATTCCAAGAGCATCACTCGCCAGAAGCAGTTGCTCTGTGTCTTTTGAACATTTTAAAGCAAATTAACTGGGGTCGGCAAGTGGCATGTTATTTGAGGGCACTGGATTCCCACATGGTCAACCATGGTTCAAGTCCCCGACCTGGGGGTTTGCTTTCTCACTTTCTCTCTGTCTCTCACTCTGTCCCTCTCTGGTCAAACATAAGTAAGTAAGTAAATAAATAAATGAATAAAGATTAAATGATTCTTTAAAAACAAGGGGAAAGAACAAAATAACCAAATGGGTTTCTGCAGTTCCCTAAATTTACAATGTGTCTTCTGAGTTGTGGCTGTGGAACAAATGAGGAAGAACTGAGGGATTTAAATTTGTGAGGTGTGCAGGTGCTGAAAGAATGAGAAATGACACATTTTAACATTCTTCCAAGATGGAGAGTATTCTAATCAGATAGTTGAAGGTAAGACTTTCTGATATTTTGGGTTTAAAAATAAATATGGAAGTAACAACTGGGGCCAGGTGGTGGCAGAGTGGTGAAACTACACTTTGGAGGCCGACCTACATAGAAGTTTACCAGTTCCTGTTTGGAGACCTCCGAGTACACCAGGCCAGTGTGTGCCTGCCATCTGGCTGACTTGGAGGTGGGGTTAGATTGTGTCAAGACCTTGTTGGGGTGGTATATCTCTGTCTCCCTCTGTTTTTCTTTTTCCTTTTGTCTCTCTTACTTGTGGAATGAATAAACTTAAAAAAAAAAAAATAGAAGAGGCCAGGAGGTGGTGTCATGGTTAAGGTGCTGGACTCTCACATGGCTGACCACAGTTTGAGTTCCAGACCTGGTAGCTTGAGCTTGCTTTTGTCCTCACTTTCCCTCTCTCTCTCTGGTCAAAATTTTCTAATTAATTAATTAATAATTTTTTTTATGAAAAGCAAGAAACAGGTATAAAAATGCAGAGTTCAAGCCCAACCACAGGGGTACAGACAATAGGGTACCACTGTGTGATACTGAAGCCTTATTGAAAGGCCTGGGGGCTCCAATCCCAGCTAGTGGCTGGAAGACTCGGGCAGAGCTGCAGCATGGTGAGACCCTGTCAAGGGTAGCTGACTGTTTCTCTCATGAAAGAATGAAAGAAATAAAAGTGTAAAGTTCAGGCCCAGCAGTTGGTATAACGTGTATGTTGCTGGACTCCCACGTAGTCAACTACGGTTCGAGTCCCAACCCAGTGGCTTAAACTCACACCGGGCACGTGTGCATGCATTCCCAAGATCCCGAGAGGAGAACGGAGGAGAAGGGATTGCAGCATGGCCATCTCCCCGGGGAGTGATTTCTCGCTTTCTATCTCTCTGTCTCTCTCTGTCTCTCTGGCAAGTACATGCGCCCTATAGCAAAAACCTCCCCCCAAAAAAATGTGTAACACCCTATAGCAAAAACCTCCCCCCCCAAAAATGTGTAACGTTTAGTTGGGCAATATTTAATATTCTATGTTGTCACATTAAAATTTTCTCTACAAAGTTCACAAAAAGGAGTTTTGTACATAAATAGATTTAGCATATATCATGTCTGATCATCACAATAACATACATTTGGAGCTTTTATAACTTTTTGTATATCAAATCACTGTATATAGTCATATTTTGCTTTTCTACCTTTAAAAAGTTTTCCATATCATTTTGCTAAATTTGGATCAGCCCCAGAATCAGTTTTAAAGAAATGAAAAGTGAAAAAAAACTGGACTTTGGAAATGTTGGTCAAAGCCACTTTACAAAACGTGTGGCATAAAGGGGGACAGTTGGCTTCAAGCACAGAGTGAGGTTAGCCTTCCCACATGTGCGGGATGTATTCTCACCACCACCACCACCACTTCTTGGCCCCCCGACTTCCTGTATGAGAAGTGTTATTGAAAGTACAGTGTGGTTGGACTCATGCTACAGAAAGAAGAAAATTAAGTTTCATTTTACTGAAAGTGCACTTGAGTTTCATTTTTCATTTCCTTCAGCCTATTGATTACCTCAAAAACATCTTGGTAAAGGAAGCCCCACCTTCCTTTTTCCCATTCAGACTGTATTTGCCGATGTTGATGAAGTTCAGTCTGGTTTCCTTCATGAATGTATCCCCTTGCTGTCTCATTTGACTATAGTTGTTTAGTGGGAGTTCCAGTGGCCTTACAAATCAATAGGATATGGATAAAAAAATTTCTACTACTGGGGCTGGCAAGTGGCATGGTGGTTAAAGGTGCTTGACTCCCACATGGCTGACCATGGTTTGAGTCCCGGACCTGGCGACTTACTTTCTTACTTTCCTTTTCTCTCTCTCTCCATGTCTCTATCTGGTCAAATTAAAACATAATAATAATAACAAATTGAATTAAATAAATAAATAATTCTTTTTAAAAATTACTACTACTAATTAACATTGAGAGCTTTTCGTGTATCAGGTACTATACTAAGCATTCTGTAAACATTTAATCTTTACACAAACACAGGAACTGAGACTTAGAAAAATAATACTGCTTGGCCAAGGTTACACAGTGAGGAAGTGATAAAGGCAAGGTCTGAACCAGGTTTGTTTGGCCCTGAAACTCACATTCTACTATTGTGTGGTACTGGCTAGAGACTAGAAGCAATGAGCTAATTTTTTTGACTCTCTGAAATTTAAGTTCCAGCTTGTGAGGATTAAATACACCGTATTTATTTCCTAGCATATATTAGGCACTCAACAGGTATTTATGTCTTTTTCCCTTTGGCATACTTTGGAAAAAACAGTGTTTTTCTAATGTATACAAGAAAAATAATCATCTGTCTTTCATTTACTACATAACTTGGTAGAAAACCTTTTTTTCTCCACAGATGAAATCTGAGTTCCTTAGTTGTTTTGGAAAGTGATGGCGTTTTCGTTGTCCTCTTAGGCTTCTTTGCCCCTTGATTCTTGTGCTTACCTGATATTCCCATTGTTTTTAGGACCTGTGGATGGAGAATTACCACCAAGAGCTAGAAATCAGGCCAATAATCCACCAGCCAATGCTTTCAGAGGAGGAACCAACCAGCCTGGAAGACTTCCTAGGGCCAACAACCAGCCTGTTCCTTACCGGCAAAGAGAAGAGAGATTTGCAGCCATGGGCAGGAATCCACATCAGGGAAGAAGGAACCAGGAAGGGCATGCCAATGAAGATGCTAGAGGCCAAAGACATGGTCCAGAGAACGACACCAGGCGGAGAACTGGCAACCAGGAGGGTAGGAACCGCAGACCACCGTGGCCCAATGAAAACTTCCAACACAGGCGGACCCCCCAGAAGCCTGCAGAACAGCCACAGCAGGTGAAGAAACTGGGCTACAAGTTCCTAGAAAGTCTTCTCCAGAAAGACCCCTCTGAAGTGGTCATCACTCTTGCTACAAGTTTAGGGCTAAAAGAGCTCCTATCTCATTCTTCCATGAAACCCAACTTCCTTGAGCTCATATGCCAGGTTCTTCGGAAGGCTTGCAGCTCCAAGATGGACCGCCAGAGCATTCTCCATGTACTGGGCATATTGAAAAACTCAAAATTCCTCAAAGTCTGCCTGCCTACTTACGTGGTAAGGATGACCACTGAGCCTATCCCTGACGTTCGAAACCAATATCCAGAACACATAAGCAACATCATCTCCCTTCTTCAGGACCTCGTAAGCGTCTTCCCCGCAAGCTCCGTGCAGGAAACTTCCATGCTCATTTCCCTCCTGCCAACTTCTCTTAATGCTTTAAGAGCCTCTGGTGTTGACATAGAAGAGGAGACAGAGAAAAACCTGGAAAAGGTCCAGACCATTATCGAACATCTGCAGGAAAAGAGGCGAGAGGGCACTTTGAAAGTGGACACCTACACTCTAGTGCAGCCTGAGGCAGAAGACCATGTTGAGAGCTATCGGACCATGCCCATTTATCCTACCTACAATGAAGTTCACTTGGATGAGAGGCCCTTTCTTCGCCCCAACATCATTTCTGGAAAATATGACAGCACTGCTGTCTATCTGGATACTCACTTTCGTCTCCTACGGGAAGATTTTGTCAGACCTCTACGGGAAGGCATTTTGGAACTTCTCCAAAGCTTTGAAGACCAGGGCCTGAGAAAGAGAAAGTTTGATGACATTCGAATCTACTTCGATACCAGAATTATCACCCCTGTGTGTGCGTCATCGGGCATTGTCTACAAGGTGCAATTTGACACAAAGCCACTGAAGTTTGTTCGCTGGCAAAATTCCAAGCGCTTGCTCTATGGGTCCTTGGTGTGCATGTCCAAGGACAACTTTGAGACGTTTCTTTTTGCTACTGTGTCCAACCGGGAACAGGAAGACCTCTGCCGAGGTATTGTCCAGCTCTGCTTCAATGAGCAGAGTCAGCAGCTGCTAGCAGAGGTCCAGCCCTCTGATTCTTTCCTCATGGTGGAGACCACTGCATACTTTGAAGCCTACAGGCATGTCCTGGAAGGGCTCCAGGAGGTCCAGGAAGAAGATGTTCCCTTCCAGAAGAACATTGTGGAGTGTGACTCTCATGTGAAGGAGCCACGGTATTTGCTAATGGGGGGCAGATATGACTTCACCCCCTTAATGGAGAACCCCTCAGCTACTGGAGAATCTCCAAGGAATGCTAAGGGCTTGAGACGTGCTGGAATTAATATCCTAGACCCTAACCAGTGGCCCTCCAAAGAAGCCCTAAAGCTAGATGACTCCCAGATGGAAGCCTTGCAGTTTGCTCTCACGAAGGAACTGGCTATTATTCAAGGACCTCCTGGAACAGGTAAGAGAATTTTCTAGTGCTAATGACACCTGCCCCATGAGGTAGGCAAGAGAGGCTTGACTTGAGGTTTTTAGAATGTCACATTTAGAGACACTACCCTGAAATGGGTATCAAAATTATTTATAAAATAGCCAGTTGTAGTGATTTTTCTGGTGGGGGCCCGTTGGTATATGTAATAACAGAACAAAATCAAGATTAGAAAAGACTACTAGAGATCGAATTTAGAGAGCTGAATTATCTCTGCTTCACCAAAAGATATATTGATTTGTTCAATTATACATATATTGATACACACACACACACACACACACACACACATACATTTTTTTAAGAGAGTTATTTAACTTATTTATTTTAATTTGAACAGAGAGGGACAGAGAGAGAGAGAGAGAAAGTGAGAGAGCAAGGTCCAGGACTCAAATTCCATGTGGGAGTCTAGCACCCTTAACCACCATACCACCTCCCAGCCCCATACACATACATATTTATGTTTATTTTCAAGATAAAGAGACACAGCCAGGGACCCTTGACAGGATCTTGCCATGCCACAGTTCTCACCTGACACACACACAACTTTCTAGCCAGTTAAGATCACAGGTGTGGGGACCAGCAGTTAGCGTAATGGCTATGTCGCTGTACTCCCATGTAGCTGACCGCGGTTCAAATCGCAGACCCAGTGGCTTAAACTCACGCTGGGCACATGTATGTGCATGCCCAAGATCCCGAGAGGAGAATGGAGAAGGGATTGCAGCGTGGCCATCCCCCCTGGGAGGTGATTTCTCACTTTCTATCTCTCTGTCTCTGTCTTTCTGGCAAGCGCACGTGCCCTATAGCAAAAACCTCTCCAAAAAAAAAAAAAAAAAAGATCGCAGGTGTGATTGGTATGCCCAGTTTGTTGAGGTTAGCCCAGGATCTGAACCCTGGGCCATCCTATATGGCTCCTATATCATGCAGAGGCAACTTACTGCCTGTGCCACCACAGCTGGGCCTTATATTATTTAAAATCAAATATATTGCACATGTATACATATATAGAGTCAAATATATAATAGCTCTATGTGCCAAGCACTGTCTTATGTACATCACATATGCTAACTCAGTGCAGCCTCACCACAACCACAACCCTGTGAGCTAGAAACCGTTATTAAAACCATTTCACAGGTGAAAAACTAAGGCAAGCAAAGTTTAAATTGCCTCTTATTTAAGAAGTATGAGGTGTGTATTGATGCTCACAGAGGGTTAGTGACAGACCTAGGACTTGAACCTAGAATCCTAGGTCTCAGCTCTCATACTGTACTTGCTTCACAGGGAAATACACCTGCCTCCACCCTCATCCCTTGTGCCACTCTCCAGTCCCAATCTGGGGTGGTTACTGCTATTAGCACTTTGACACATATCTTTCCAAATGTTCTTCAGGGTTAACACTTAGGTATCTGTATGTCTGTATGTGTTTTCCTATGTTCATGTACATTTTTCTTTTATCTAATTTTATTTATTCATTCATTTTTTAAAAATTTGACCAGAGAGACAGAGAGAGAGGGAAAGTGAGAAAGCAAGTCACCAGGTCCAGGATTTGAACTGAGGTGGGAGGATCCAGCGCCTTAACTACCATGCCACCTGCTGGTCCCACATTTTTCTATTTTTACTGAATAATAAAAATATGACCTCCTATATACTGGTATACAGATTTGTTCTGTTTGTTTTTTTTCTTAATTTTGCCAGAGAGCACATGTACTCACCGCAGAGACATACACAGAGAGAAAGTGAGAAAGCACCCCTCATGGGGAATGGTCATGTTACAGTCTTGTAGACTTAATCAATTAGTGGCCAATTGCTGATGAGTCCTAGACTCCGACTCTGATGTTGACTTCCCATCACAAAGGCAAGTCCACTGTGGTACTAAAAAGCATTTCTAGGGGCCAGCAGGTGGCACGGTGGTGGTTAAAGGCAATGGACCTGGCAGCCTACTTTCTCACTTGCCCTCCCTCTCTCTGTCTCACTCTCTTTGGTCATATTTAAATAAATAAACTTAAATAAAATAATTCTTTTGAAAAATGAAAAAAGGAAAAAAGTATTTCTAAAGAATTTTTGCCATGAAATTGGAAACAGTATTTATATCCATCAATAGAGAACTAGCTAAAAATACCGTATAGCTGGGGAAAAGAGGGTGTGGGGTTAGCAAGAATATAGCAAGAAACAGGACCAACCCTCTCAGTTTTTATGGTTTAGGGCAGACCATACTACTGTAATAGAGAACTACCTCCAAGTTAAAGTAGAAAAGAAATAAGATGTACAACAGTGAAATTAGTCTATACCTATTTGTATTTCTTTAAAGGATTATTTTATTTATTTATTTATTTATTTAATTTGTTGTTATTGTTGTTGTTGTTATTTTTAATTTGACCAGAGAAAGAGAGAGAGAGAGGGAAAGTGAGAAAGCAAACTGCCAGATCCAGGACTTGAACTGTAGTTGGCCATGTGGGAGTCCAGCACCCCAACCACCATACCACCCCTCCATATTTGTATTTTAAAAAGAGGAAGAGTAGGGAACTAATACACATTCATATTTGTTTGTATTTGTGTAGAATGATTAACTCTGGCACGTTTCACAAGAAACTGTCCACTTTGGTTGCTTCCCACAGAAGGAACTGGGTAGTTAGCAGTTAACAGAAACTCAAAGGCATTTTTCACTGCATACCCATTTATGCTTCTTGGACTTTTAAACCATCTGATTTATTATCTTAAAAGTTTAAAAGATAAAAAAAGATTTTGCTGTAAGTAATTATTATTTTTAGAAAGTCTCTAAACATTTTAACTTTTTTTCTTTATGTTCTAGGCAAAACCTATGTTGGTCTAAAAATTGTTCAGGCCCTTCTAACCAATGAATCTGTTTGGCAAATTAGCCTCCAGAAGTTCCCCATCTTGGTAGTGTGTTATACGAATCATGCTTTGGACCAGTTCCTGGAAGGTAATGTCTATACTCAAAATCGATCTCTATCAAATGTTTATGATTGAACTATCAGCAACCGTGGTACCTTTCTATCCCTCTCTGAATAAAGTCCACAGTCCTTATCATGACTCATAAGGCCACATGTCACGTGCCCCAGCCTGACTCCACATGACATCATCTCCTGCCTCTTCCCTGTTCTCCCTAAATCCAGCAACTGTGTCTTCCTAGCTTCTTCCTTGGCCCATTCTGGAATATACTTTTTTCCCTTCCCCTGTCCTTAACTGGCTCAACTGGCCCCAACTCATTCTTCAGATAATATCTTAAATTGTTCTTCCTCAGATGGACTTTCCCTATTGCTCCAAGATTCTTCTCTTGTAATCTTTTCTTTTCTTTTCTTTAAAATTTGATTTATGAGTCTATCCTAGACCATAAAACGGGGAGGGTTGTTCCTGTTTCTTGCTATATTCGCAGATCTTGGCATCTATTAGCACTCAGAAAGCATTAATTGCATTAATGAATTAATAAGTGTATACTTTTCCTTTTGCTTTGAATTTTATTTTCCATCCTTTTGTACTCTACTTTCAACTAGATAAATCTTCCCTTTTTTTTTTTTTTTTTGGGAGAGGTTTTTGCTATAGGGCACAAGCACTCACCAGAGTGACAGAAAGTGAGAAATCACCCCCCAGGGGGGATGGCCACACTGCAATCCCTTCTCCATTCTCCTCTTGGGATCTTGGGCACGTACACACACACACGCGCGCCCAGCGTGAGTTTAAGCCACCGGGACTTGAACCATGGTCGACTACATGGGAGTCCAGCGACATAGCCAGTATGCCAACTGCTGGTCCCAAATCTTCCTTATTTTTAGAGTCTAAGTTTAAATGTTAGATCCTCAAGAATAGATCCCTACTCCACCCAGATGAGGTGAGATCACTGCCATCCACTTACGACCTCATGTACTTAGTCCTTGCTGCTGTTATCACTCCTGTGATAAAGGGCTTAATGAGTATCTTCTGTGCTAGACTGAGACACAAGAACCAATCGAGAACCGCGTCTGGGTTCTGACTTCTAGCATTTATCTTCAGAACCTAGCACAGGCTTAGAGCATAGAAGCCGGTAGTAACGCTGCTGAGTAATAGGTAGCATTTACTGAGGGGATGCTTTGTGCCAGACCCCAGCTAGGAGCTATACAAATACTCTTTCACTTATCCACACTATAGTCCTATAAGGAAAGTGTTAGTGTCTCCAAATCACAGAGAAACTGAGACTCAAGTAATTTGGCCCAGGTTAACAGAGCAGTAAGTGGTGGAGCCAAAATTTAGGTCCCCAGTCGTCTAAGTCCAGACCCTGTCTCTTAGGCCTACTTTTTACTGCTTTGCAAAGTCTGTCTCTCTGGGGTCTTCTCACTCATTAATGGAGTAAATTTCCTATAAGCGTAAGTTTGTTCCCTAAGGGGTCAGTTGACACCAGATTGCGAACACACAGCACACACGTGAGAGAACACAGCGTAGCTCCCCTCAACCTTGCCTTACTCTACTTTGTTCCACAGGCATCTACAGGTGTCAGAAGACCAGCATTGTGCGGGTGGGCGGAAGGAGCAACAGTGAGATCTTGAAGCAGTTCACCCTCAGGGAGCTGAGGAATAAGCGGGAATTTCGCCGCAACCTCCCCATGCACCTCCGGAGGGCCTACATGAGTGTAAGTCCCAGCTTTGGATTATCTGAGGTAGCTCGAGGGGAACCTGAATGAGTTAGCAGTGGCTTCTGGGTAGTCAGTCCAGAGTAGGTTGGAAGGCTTCCCAAAGCTCTGAGGACTTAGGTTCCTTCCAGTGCTGCATTCTGCTAGTCCCATGGTACAACCTCTGGCCTCGTAACACTGTTAGGAGAAAGACTAAGGAGGGCACACCACCCTTCTCCACCCCTGCCAGGACCTTAAGACACATTCCCCCAAACCACCCATAGCATTTCTACCACTGATAGCCCGAGGGCAGTGCCATCTTTTAGCTGGGCAGCAAGGTGCCTCACCCAAAATCTGCTTTCTTATTGCTGAGGAAAGGAGAAAGAACACATACTGTGGGGCTTGAAGTCTCTGCCACAGTGTTTTTACCCTGTTTTTCTGTGGTATTGTTTCCTTCTCTTACTGGTTGGCAGGAGTCTTTTAGACATTCGAGTACTAATCCTTTGGTATCAAACCATAATAATGTAACTTGGGAGACTGGTTTGTTGACTGGTCTGCCGTGTATTCCCCCTTGTCACTATTTCTGTTTTCCCTCAAGGCAGACAGAGTTTAGAGGATGATAATCTTTCTGCATCATTTCTTTCTGTCTATTCCTGGCAGATCATGACACAGATGAAGGAATCAGAACAAGAACTGCATGAAGGGGCCAAGACCCTGGAGTGCACCATGCGGGGTGTCCTACGGGATCAGCATTTGGAGAAATACATCTCGCCTAAACACTGGGAAAGCTTAATGAATGGACCGATGCAGGTAGGGGCATCCCCAGGGACACCGACTCCTCCTGCCTCAGGTACCTGCAGGGAGCTGTGGTAGAAGCAGCCTGGAGCTCTAGCTGTGGGACTCCATTGCTGTCGTAACAGGAGAAGTTCAAGTCTTCACGATGAGAGGCAGCTGAGTGCACTGGTCCGGTGTGCGACTGGAGCCAGCCTCCTGAGCTGGAAACCAGGCATGGCTCTAGACAAGTTACTTAATATTCCTCTTTTGTAAAGTGGGGATAAGATCGCCAATATTTCTAAGTTTGACATGCAAAAATAACAATTTCTTTTCTTTTTTTTGGAGAGGTTTTTTTTCTGTTTGTTTTTTGTTTTTTTGTTTATTTGTTTGGTTTTTGGGTTTTTTTGTTTTTTGGTTTTTGTTTGTTTGTTTGTTTGTTTGTTTGGGTTTTTTTTGAGAGATTTTCACTGTAGGGCGCGTGCACTCGCCAGACAGACAGAGAGAGACATAGAGACAGAAAGCGAGAAATCACCCCCCAGGGGGGATGGTCACGCCGCAATCCCTTCTCCTCCATTCTCCTCTCGGGATCTTGGGCATGCACGCACACGCGCCCGGCGTGAGTTTTAAGCCACCGGGTCCGGGACACGAACCGCGGTCGACTATGTGGGAATCCAGCGACATAGCCATTACGCTAACTGCTGGTTCCCTGGTTTTTGGGTTTTTTGGGGGTTGTTTTTTTCTTTGCTATAGGGTGCATGCGCTCGCCAGACAGACAGAGAGACAGAAAGCGAGAAATCATCACCCACGGGGGGATGGCCATGCCACAATCCCTTCTTCTCCATTCTCCTCTCGGGATCTTGGGCATGCACGCACACGCGCCCGGCGTGAGTTTTAAGCCACCAGGTCCTGGACATGAACCGTGGTCAACTACGTGGGAGCCCAGCGACATAGCCATTACGCTAACTGCTGGTCCCAAAGTAACAATTTCTTATGGATAAACTTGATTCCTACAGGATTGTTATTTGGATAAACGAGTTAACATATGTCAATCTCTGAATTTATTAATAAGTGTGCTTTAAGTGTTTGTTAAATGAAATAAGCAAAATTATAACCAGGCACCACCAAGCACATGTAGGAGTTGGGAACTGACAGACCCAGGTCACACACACCTACTATGCAACTTGGGCAAGTGTGATCCTCAGCAATCAAACAGACATGATAATGCCTGTCTTCAGAGGATACTGTAAGAAGTAACAATCTCTAGAGAGTGACTGGCCAGTAACCCAGTAAAATGGTAGCTTTATTATCATTGAGCTGGTGAGTCCCCGAATTATAAGCCAGAAGCATAAGAGGGGTTCATCAGGTCCTGTAAATAAGTGGAGCAGTCTAGATGTGAAACATTAGAGAGTAGCCAAGTGGAAAAAGGATGGTTGCAACCTGCCTCCAGCCCTGTGTTGCCATTCAGTGATATAGGCTCATGGTTGCCATAGCTGTTGGTTTTGTCAATAGAGGCTGGAAATTTTGATTTTAAAACTTCTTTGCAAATTGAGTAGCCCCATGGCATTGTGGTTAAGGGAGCTGGATCCCACATGGCCAACCAAATCAGTTCAAATCCTGATGTTGGTGGCTTGAAAAACATGCTGAACACATGTGCGTGTGTGCCTATAATCCTGACAAGACGGAGAAATGGAGAAGGAATTGTGGCGTGACCATGACCCATTTGGGGGTTCTTTCTCCCTCTCTGCCTCTCTCTGGTGAGTGCATGTACTCTCTGGCAGTTTAAATAACTAACCAAGTAAATAAGTAAACCTTAAAGCAACCACTAAAATAACTTTAAAAAGTAAAAATATAATTTTATGCAAGTCATGTTTGCTATTCCATTTGCTCACAGGATGCAAATTTGCAACCTTTGAATTATAAAGGAATTACTTTGGGCCTTTCAGGGACATGCTATCTTCACCTGGTGGTCACAGAATTCTCAAGACTAATCATTCTTCCTTTCTTCCTCAGGATAGTGAGTGGATATACACACAGCGCTGGAAGCATTCCATGATGCTGGAGTGGCTGGGTCTAGGTGTCGGTTCATTCACCCAAAATGTCCCTCCCTCCTTACCTGAGAATACAGGTAAGAAGTGCATGTTTACCTAGAATCACATCTTAAAGTAGAATATGTTAAAGACCAAAAGAGCAAGACTTAACCATCATGCCCAGAATACATAAAGAACTGTGAATCAGTCAGAGATAGACAGCTACCTAAAGGAATAAAACACTTTTCAATTAGCAATAATTGCGCCTCAGATAAACCTCATTGGCTACGATACTGCCACTGCGCAAAGCTAAGGAATAAAACACTTTTAACAGGTACATTGTAGAACAGGAAATCCTGTTGGTAAGTAGATACATGAAAAGTACTCATTGGAAACTAGAAGGCCAGCAGGTGGCATGGAGTTTAAGATGTCTGGATCCTACAGGGCTTCCTGCACAGTTTCAGTCCAAGACCCAGTGGCTTGAAAACCACGACAGGCATGTGCATGTGTGTGCATACGGATGCATGCACATGCCTACAATCCCGAGAATGAAGGAGAAGGGATCGTGGTGTTGTCATCCCCCGGGGGAGAGATTTCTTGCTTTCCCTCTTTGTCTGTCTCTCTCTGTCTCTGTCCAGCCAGTACACATATCCTATATAGCAAACTAAAATACATAAATAAATAAATAGATAAAAAAGAAACTAGAATTAAAACCACAATAAGATACTATTGCACACCCACCAGACTGGCAAAAATTGAAAAGTATGATGAAATTCTGCATTGAGGGCACTGTGGAAAAGTGGGAACTGATACATTGCCATTGGGGATATAATAGCACAACCACTTTATGATGGCAGAAATACAGAAAGAACTCAAATGTCCATTAGCATCTGTACAGTCTACTTAGATAATGGGAAGTAGACAGCAGCGAAAAGGCAACGTACGTGAACCCAGACAAGTTACAGAAAGATACATACATTGGACACGGTTTTATTTAGAGAATAGTGAATACAGTACATGTGTAGTGACTTCAGGAGGAATGAGTAACATGAAATTCAAGTTAGGGGCCAGCAGGTGGCGTGGTGGTTGAGGCACTGGACACTCCCACATGGCTGACCATGGTTTGAGTCCTGGACCTGATGTCTTGCTTTCTTACTTTCCTCCTCTGTGTCTGTCTTTCTCTGGCCAAATTAAAATGAATGAATGAGTAAATAATTTTTTTTAAATAAAATAAACTTCAAGTTAGAAGGCCCCACAAGGATCTTCAGAAAATCTGATAGTTTTCTACTTTTTAAATGAGATGAAAGGTACCTAGATGTTTAGTTTCTGTTTTTTAATTATCCTTTAAATTGCACATTTACTTTGTATATGCATTTGGCAGAGTAAACCTTTCTTAAAAAGGCATACAGTCATGGGGTTTTTAAAATGTTAAACATGTAGCAAAAAAGTACACCAGGAAGGGTAAGTACCCCTCCTCTCTCGAGGGTCCCCATCCCTATCGTCCCTGCTTTCCTCTCTTAGCCCAGGCAGAAGGGGAGGAAGAAGAAGAAGGGGAAGAAGAGGGTTCACTGATTGAGATCGCAGAAGAGGCCGACTTGATCCAAGCAGACCGGGTGATTGAGGAGGAGGAGGTGGTGAGACCCCAGCAGCGGCGGAAGAAGGACGAGAATGGGGCCGACCAGGAGTTGGCTAAACTGCTTCTGGCCTTGCGGCTAGACCACTACAGCCCTGGGACAACAGCTGGGCAGGAGCAAGCCGAAGGAGAGTGGGAGGTAAACTCACTTCCTTGGGGCTCTTAAAAGCCCAGCAGAATGGGAAACAGGAGTTCGGTTATTACTGCCAGGTGGACGTGCGTTAGACTGTTGCAGCAGGCCCAGGAGCATTGTGACCACTCTGTTCCCCCTCACTTCTAAAACAGTGCTCACTTCACCCTCACAGTCAGCTGATGTACCATTTATACCTAGCCCTGGTAAAAGATGAGTCTAAGTTCCAACAGTATCAAATTTATGGCTCTTTAGAGGAGCCCTGAAAAGAAATACCAACTTAAGATGGAAGCAGGTAGCCAGGTGGCTATCTAGAACATTTAAAAGAATGCAGCACAGGGCCAGCAGGTGGCACGGTAGTTAAGGCACTGGACTCCCACACAGCCAACTACAGTTCAAGTCCTAGACCTGGTGACTTGCTTTCTCACTTTCCCCATTCTCTCTCCTGTCCCTCTCGGTAAGTGCATCTGTCCTATAGCAAATCAAAAATAATAAGAACCAGCATATGGTATAGTGGTTATGTTGCTGGACTCCCACGTGGTCGACCACAATTTGAGTCCTGGACCTGGTGGCTTGAAACTATGCTGGGCGCATATATGTACATGCCCAAGACTGGGAGAAGAATGGAGAAGGGATTGTAGTACTGCCATCCCCACCCCTCAGAGGGGTGATTTCTCACTTTCCCTCTTACTGTATCTGTCTCTCTCTATCCCCCTGGCAAGCACACACTCCCTAAGGCAAAAAACTCCAAAAAACTAATTAATTAATTAATTAATTAAATCAATAACTTCTTTAAAAAAAAAAAAAAAGACAACACATACAAGTGGAATCAAACACTTTACAGTCTCAGCACTTCAGTACCTTGTGCCTTTAGGGTTTTTACCTTCTCAACCACAAATGGGTCTGTCAGCATGTATTAGGATTTTAGAGGATTGCAGTAAAACAATGAGGCAAGTCCTCGGGGCTGGATGGAATACTCCTTCAGTCACTCTGGACGTCTCTTTTTTTTTTTTCTTTTTTGAGAGGTTTTTGCTATAGGGTGCATGTGCTCGCCAGAAAGAGAGAGAGAGACAGAGACAGAAAGCGAGAAATCACCCCCCCAGGGGAGATGGCCACACCACAATCCCTTCTTCTCCATTCTCCTCTCTCAAGATCTTGGGTGGGCACACACGCCCAGCATGAGTTTAAGACACCGGGTCCGGGACTCAAACCACAGTCGACTACATGGGAGTCCAGTGACATAGCCATTACGCTAACTGCTGGTCCCACCCTGGATGTCTCTTAAAGCCAGAATAGAGTGAATGCCCAGATGTGTCCATATGGACTTTCCCACGGCTGCTGCTTCTTCTCACACCCCGGTTAACACTACCATGACCAGAGCAGAGTAGCTCCTCAAAGTAGCAATTTGTAAACTCTATCAACTTTCAAAGGCAAGTTTGGTTCTGAAGTAGGGGGAGGTATTCATTGTGGCGACATCTGTAACAGATGCCAGCCCTTCTAAAGGCTGTGGCCTCAGGAGGAGAGCACTCTCCTAAATGGTGCCTTTTACCCACTTGCTGAAGGTACTGTGTTGATAGGATGGCATTGGCAACGTTTTAGCAGGCCCTGTGCCAAGCCTGCACTGAGCACCAGCTGCTAGGCACTGGTAGTGCAGCCCTAAGCAAGAGTCCTTCCCCCACTACTTTCAGACACGTGCATTTTAGGAACAAGAAACAGACTGTGGTCAAAAGGCGTTCAGTGGTAACTGGTGCCAGCACTGTTGTCGGCACTTTGCTCCCTCGAAGCCAATGACCCTCTGAAGAAGCACTATTGTGCCCATCTTATAGACGGGCATGCTGAGGAACATAGAGGTGAAGGAACTTGTCCTAGGTTGCACGACCTACTAAGAGGTAGAATGGAACTTTGAACCCAGGCTAGACAAAGACCATGCAGCTACTGGGAGAGAGTGAGATGCTCGGAGTACATCAGATACGGCCACAGCCTGTCTTATGTGCTGTGGCCCCACCCTGGGCCTAGAACCAAGCCGGCCTCCACTCAGTACCCTGCCTGGTATTGATGTCTACAGACCCAGCGCAGCCAGAAAAAGAAAATGAAGAAGAGAGTGAAGGCTGAGCTTCGCAAACTGAACACCATGACTGAGGCCGAGGCCAATGAGATCCAAGACGTCTGGCAGCTGGACCTGAATTCTCGCTGGCGGCTTTATAGGTACTATGTCACGTCCCTATCAGTCCATGGCATTTCCTTAGGGAGCTCCTGCCCTGCTCCCAGAATGCAGCTCAGCCTGTGACCTTCAACAGCATAATTTGTCCTGGATGGAGCACAGGCTTAGCTGAGTGCTCAGGGGATGCAGCCATGGGATTCGCTGGCTACATGCTCTCCCTTCCTGGGCTGCAGGCATCTGTCCAGGGAGACAGCCGTCACGGAAATCCCAAGTGACAATAGGCATAAACACTAAGAAAGAAAAGACCAGGGAGTACTAACAATATCACATGGTATCTGAGCTTGTCTACGGTGTCCAGGAAAGCAGCATTGGGGGCATGATCTGAAAGATGACAGGGCATCACCAAGGCCACTGGAAAGGGGGAGCAGAGGAGGCTGAGGGGCCACATAGGTAGAGGCCCTGGGATGGGCGGGAGCCTTACTGTTTCTGTTTGAGAAACTGAAACAGAAAGAAGGCAGCCAGCAGGTCTGTGGACATGGCAGGTGAGGTCAAGGGTGGGCAGGGACCTCACACGGCTACAGTGAGCAGTGTGGGGCTTTTCCCTCACACGGCTACAGTGAGCAGTGTGGGGCTCACCTAAAGAGCACTGGAAAGCCAGTGGAAGCTTTTACAGCGTTACAGTGATATCATCCATTTCACTTGTAAAACATATTCTGTAGGAAGTTAGGGGAGGCGGGGCCGGGGGGCAAACAAGGAGGATTTAGCAGAAATTCTCCTGCAGCATTTGAAGTCCTCATACCCTTCCCAAGAGTTCACCTTTGTTCTTTTTCCCATCTCCTTCCTTGACTTCTGACCATCCTGCTCATCTTCCTGTTGGGCATTTTGGACTACTGAGTTCCTGTATATCTTGGCGTCTCCTCCCTCTCCCTCTCTTTATGACTTGTAATCTCCTTAAATGTCCAGAAGGGTTCCCTTTATACACTGGGTGCACCAAAGGGGTTCTCTGCCTTCTCAAAGAGCACATGGCTTTCTTTCCCTGGTCCTTCCTTGTCCAGGCTATGGCTGCAGATGTACCAAGCTGACACCCGCCGGAAGATCCTCAGCTATGAGCGCCAGTACCGCACATCAGCAGAAAGAATGGCTGAGCTGAGACTCCAGGAAGACCTGCACATCCTTAAAGATGCCCAGGTCATAGGAATGACAACCACAGGTAAGAAAGTGTGCGGAAATTTACTTGTTCGAGATATGCTCATCTCTGGTGTCAAGATCCTTTCAAATGACCTAGCACAGGTAAAGAGAAACTTCTCTAGTAGGTAAGAGGAGAATACCATGAAAAGCTATCTAAAGCAACTAGCATTTGGGGAACTGCTGGTGACATTCACCCACTTGCTCTGGATGAGTTCAAAACCCCAACAACGACCATGTGGGTGGAATGCTCAGCGAGCCACCCTGCACGCGTTCCCTCATTTGACGTCACCCCAGCCTGGATGGCTCTGAGGGTCCAGTGGCCCTGTGGCTCTCCTGTGCCTCAGCTCAGAGGAGCTTCTCTCTTTTCTCACTTGAGGTGCTGCCAAATACCGCCAGATCCTGCAGAAGGTGGAGCCTCGGATTGTCATTGTGGAGGAGGCTGCTGAGGTCCTCGAGGCTCACACCATTGCCACCCTGAGCAAAGCTTGCCAGCACCTCATTCTGATTGGGGACCACCAGCAGGTAAAGTAGGAGCCCATGGACAGTGGGCTGGGGTCCAACAGGAAGACCCTGACCTCCTGCTTTGTCAGTTCTCAGGTTCCTTCCCTGCTCTTTGTGGGTCCTTTTCCACCCCTCCCACATTCAGTCTGAGAGCAGGTGCTGTTAGAGTCAGGGCATGTGTCATCCATTTCACCCATCTCTGCTACTCTCCCGGCCCACGCTGGCCTCTAGTTAAGCGTACTCCTCCGTCTCCTTGCTTCCATTTTTACTACCCTCTAAAACATTCTCCTTAAAGGAGCCCAAGCAGGTTTTTTAAAAGGAATGTCAGATCAGCTGAAAACCCTGCAGTGGTTTCCTGTTGCACCTAATATTAAAGTCAAAACTCTAAAACAGCCAACAGAAGCAGTAAAATCAAGTTTCAGCCTGTTTCTCTGACTTTATCTCATTGGCTCTCGCTGCTCCCACCCTGTTCTTCCTGCTTCCTCTCAAGGGTTGCTTTCTAAACCTGAATTACGCAACTTCCTCCATATCCGTGTCAGCCCAGATTGGCACTGTGGAGGTAGCTTAGCCTGTTTTCACATTGCTAACAGAAATACCTGAGACTGGGTGTATTTAGGAGTAAAAGGGTTTGTTTGACACACAGTTCTGTTGGCTGGGAAGTCCAAATGCATCACCAAAAGGCAGAACTTTTAGCAGGGCAGCGTGTGGTCTGTATCTGACTGGCTTCCTCTCCATCTGGCCTCATTCCCTCTGCTCCTGCACCCACCAGAATTCAACTGTGGAGCCCCTGCCCTGCTAACTTCACTCACAAGGTTCTACCCTGAAACACTGTGACGGAATTAAGTTTTTACTTAACACCTTTACAATATAATTAAATCCCAACACATGAAATTCTTGGGAACATCCAGTTCTTGTCATCACAGCCCTTGTCACTATTAATCCTTAACCTGTCAGCACCTAGAATAGTGCCTGGCATATGGAAGGCACTAGAAAAACATTTACTGGGTGGATAGAAGGATGGCTAGATGGTTAAAATGCATTTTCAAGGAACCAGGAGTTGGTATATGGCTATGTCGCTGGACTCCCATGTAGTCAACCGTGGTTCAAGTCCTGGACCTGGTGGCTTAAACTCATGCTGGGTGTGTGTGCGTGCATGCCCAAGATCCCAAGAGGAGAATGGAGGAGAAGGGATTGCAGCATGGCCAATCCCCCCTGAGGGGGTGATTTCTCGCTTTCTGTCTCTGTCTCTTTCTGGCGAGCGCACGTGCTCTATAGCAAAATCCTCTCCAAAACAGAAAATAAAAAAGATACATTTTTCAATAGAAAATCCTCAGCCATGTTTATGTTTCTCTTTGCAGCTACGCCCCAGTGCCAATGTGTATGATCTGGCCAAGAACTTCAACCTTGAGGTGTCTCTTTTTGAACGGCTAGTGAAAGTAAACATTCCCTTTGTCCGGCTGAATTACCAGGTGAGAAACTGGGCCTAGGAGAAAGCTCCTAGGAGCCTGCCAATGCCAACAAGAGAGGTCTTATAAAAACAAAACTGATTTAGTAAGGAAATGACTTATAGTTTTGTTTTTGTTTTTGTTTTTCTGTAGAGCATGTACACTTACTAGAGAAACAGAGAGTAAGAGAGAAAGTGAGAAATCACCACTGGTGGGGTGGGAGGGTGGCCATACCACAGTCCCTTCTCCTTCAATCTCCTCTTGGGATTTTGGGCAGGCATGCAAATGTGCCCTGTATCTTTTTCAGGCTGCCAAATCCAGGACTTAAACTGTGGACTTGGCTATGTGCGATCCAGCCAGTGCCTT